TAGTCGTGGTAGTGGTAGTGGTAGTAGTAGGAGCATTAGCAATAGAAGCAGCATGCGCATGCATACCAGCAGCAGGTTGACATGCATATACATACAAAACAAACTCCTGGACTTGATGTGTTTGACAATCCTGGGATTGCTTTGATGTTGCGCAAAAACTTTTGTTGAATTTGGGACAGTCGAAAAAGTGTCAATGGTTTTCGTCTCGGAAAAAGCACTGCATGTGTGTAGGAAGCTGGCTGAGGACAGGACAGCCCAACGTTATCACACTTGTGCCATGGAGGATCGAATGGGGTAGTTTCCATTTTCACTTCAACAATGCACCACAACCGCTATGTTGCATGTTGTCCCGGTGCAAAAGGTTCCTACTACAAACCCTTCTTGACACTGCATTTGAACATTAGGTGGTTAGATGGCAATGTGCGTAGTGCAACACCCAGCAAATCTTTTCAGCTTATGTCCGCTGATGTAGCGCATTCTGCTGCATGCCACTTGGAATGGTCAAGCTGTTGTTGTAGGAGCCATTGATCCATTTTGTTGTGCTCGCAGGTTGATTCACCGTGCATTTTTGTGTTCTCGACAATTGGGTTCTACAGTCTGGATGGACATGCCGGGTGACATTTACCAGAATAATCTGCCAAGGCTGGTGGGATGATCCAGACCACGCAGTCCTTCGAAGCTCGTGGTCCAGAAAACCGCGTGATTGATGTTGCCAGGGCCCTGTCCACAGTTGCAGGGTGTTGTAAGGCCTTAGACGCGCCCCCTATGGTCACCTACTTGGGGTGACCATGGGTGATCCGCTAATGATGGTGTTTGTGATGACAACGAGCGATGTAAATTTTGCAGGTTCTTACGTATTCAAGTTTGTGTCAACTGGGTCGACAGCATCAGCACTGAGTTGGGTGTGGGCTATTGTCACATGCCCAGGTGTTGCGTGATGCATTGGAGAAGCTTCGGAACACGGCCCCGAAAAAACTCAAGGATGTGTGCTGTCAGAAAAGCTTCAATCTCATGTGTCACTCTGCCGAACGTTCGACGAGAATATCCCAAGTGAGAGGAGCTGCGGGATGTTGTGGAAGCCGACTTGAAAACGCACTGCGCCCGGAGTCGCGATTTGCGAGTTGGTGAGGAACAAAGGTGATTTCCTGCCCGGCAGCTGTTGTGAGTTTTGTCAGGCTGGAGCACCTGCCCGCCTCGGGGGCGAATGTTTCTGCGAATGACTTCTTTCAGTCGTTCAAGCTCGGCTGCGAAGCTGCAGGTGCATTCGTGTCGGAGTTCCTCTTGACATTGATCAGTTTGCGACTGGATGCAAGGTCTGCCGAAGTTGGTGGTCATTGCTTTGGAGGCATGCCATTTGCACTCCAGCCACGTTGCAGCGCTGTCGACAAACACTTGTCTGCAACCACGGACGTCAAAAAGTTTCAATTGTATTTCTTGAAGCCATGTGCTTAGCCTCGCTTTGTGCACGTGCGTCGCAACAACAGTACATTCATATATCATCTAGAATCTATCGCCATCGGCAGGCCATCCAAAAGCAAATCACCTACGGCTTCCTCACTGGCAGAGGCTGCTTTTGAGAACGACTTCCTTGTACAGTTGGCTTGCTTATCGCAAGTTTTGCAAGGTCCAGACCCATTCAAGCCAGAGAATGGGCGGCGTCTCATTGCGACAAGCTGAGTGCTTTTTTTCATGCCATGCTGGTGTGTGAGCAAGGGCCAGCTAAGGATGCTGTGGTGGATTCCGTCTGCAACTGTGCAGAGTCTGCTGATGACACAGTACGCACCTCTGTGCCTTCCAACATATCCTGCCAGTGATGCACTGCGTGCCTTGTCGTTCTGTTTGGAATTCGATAAGGTGCAGATGCACATGATCAGCACGCTGCTTGCTGCTGTAACCTCGCAGGTCTGCGAGGCCTTGAAAGCGGCGCTTGATGTGTTTGACATGATATGTTTCGTATGTAACGTGGTCAGAACGCCACGTGGGGACAAGGGAGTGCTTCTGAATCCGTTAAGCTTGGCTGTCATAGTCATTGGCTGGTAGACACCAGAAAGCAGCACGAAGTCAATGCAGCGCCAATGCCATAGTGCACCCTGAGTTTGCAACTGATGAGTTCCACACCGACACTCGGGGCAAGATGAAGCTTCTATCGACTGCTAAGCGGCAGGCAAAGGTAGGAGGCGAGGGAAGGCCGACAGTCGCCGTGTTATGGTTTCGCCCACGATTTCCGCCCGGCGATCAGTCGCCGCCTTATTCAACGATTTCATTGCTCGGCCAGGTCCACGGCCAGAGTCTCATGTTGGCAGTGGATACGTGCATGAAGCTGTACCGGGACCAGGGTTGAAGACGATCAGCTTCATAGATCATGGCCTGCATTCTGCTGCTACCGGGTCTCAGTTCCTCGCATGAACCGCAAAGAGCTGTTCCTCAGAACGTAGGGCCGCAGGACTCGAAAAGCCAGTCCAACCAGCGCATGGCTCAAACAGCTTTGACTCAGATGCTTTCAGCGGCGCGCTCAGGCTCAGGTGTTCATCGAGTTGAGGTATAAAAACTATATAAACCGGAAGATGCCCTCGAGTTGAGGTCATCACCCAGCGCTTGGAGCTAAGCTCTGCCGACATGCTCGGCGCCCGGTGAGAGGGCCCTGGAAAGCTACCAAACCCTAAACCCTAAACCCTAAACCCTCGGCTTTCCGTGGCTTCCAAGAGTTTTGAGAAATTCAGGTCGAGCCGAGCGGAGGAGGTCTTGGGCTCGCGGCGGCTTGGCGGCAAAGCTCAACGCCGAATCCGAAAAGCAGCCGTATGATATAGATATATATATATATATAATAGTATAGTCTACTCTACGACAGTATAGTCGAGTATACTTTACTTTCAGTCCCTTTCCGGTTCAAGGTCTGGCGCCGCTTCTGCGGGCGCAGCGAACTCAGAGCAGCTGGCGGCCGTGGTCGCCGCCGCCCCGGCCGCCTTCGCCCGGAGCCCCGAAGCCGAGCGGGACGCCCCACAGCGAGTGCTTGGGAGGGTTTTTTGGTGCGGTTTGGGCCTTGGGCTCGTCTGCACTGAGGCGAATGCCAACGCGGACCTGGCTCAGATGCCCAAAGGCTGGGCGACTAATGCTCACCGTGTGCAAAGGAGAGCATTGAGTGCATGCAGGGCAGCTCCTGAACGAGTGGATGTCATCTTACCTGTCTGCAAAGATCGACACCCTGGTGCGTGTCTCAGCAAATGCATCTCTTTCAGTACCTCCGCGCATGCTCTTCAGTTGCAAGACTGTTTTGCAGGCATGGAACCATGAAAAGGAGAACGGCCAGAAGGGTGAGGCCCACATCATACTGCTTCTCTGTGACTGCTTAATGTGCATGGTTAATCCGCGGATGCCCCTGGGAGGACCCCCCTCCTGGCAAGTTTGGATGGTGTGTTTCCTGGCTAGCACTTACCGTTATGCAGGCTTTTCTGGTGCAGCGTACACTGGCAGCAGGTTGTTTGCAGAAGTACTGCCAACCACTATTGCGTCGACACGCGGGACTCGGTTTGCGGGCCAGCCTCTTCTACACAATTGATGGCGGCTTGATCACAAGCTAGAATTGAAGTTGGTGTGTCTTGCAGGCATGCGTGCAAATACCGCAACCTGGAGCGTCTGTCGCTGGTTGAGAAATATTATGGCGCAAAGCGAGAGGAGGCCGGGCATTCAGGCAGCTCACATGCCATATTGCCCGTAGCAACTAGCAGGCCTCCTCTCCAGCAGCCTCTCCATCCGAGACTCGGGCTAGCAAAGCTGAGTGGCTCTGAGTATCGATCCCTTGCTTCGTCAGAAAGCACTTGTTAAGGTGTCCAGCAACGCTCCGGCTGTACCATCGCAGTCCTCCAGGGACACCTTCGCGAACAGGGACGAAGCACCGGCCTATCGCTGGCACTCCTTGCAGCCCGAGCAGCTAGAGGGAAGCCATCGAGGCGTCTTCTGCGATGGCAGATGTCTCCAGTGCAAAGTCCATGAACGTTTACCACCAGGCCGCTGGCATAGCCGGAGCTGTGCAGTGTCTGAGATGTCCAGAATTTGAGAAGGACTCTGTCATCATCCTGACGTACCTCATCAACAGCAGTGCCAAGGAGCGCTATCTTCGCATCACAGAAACTCCAAAATATCTGGCTGGATGTTCTAAGCACCTGGATCCGATCTTCGGACCACAGGCAGCTTGTGGGTCGGGTTTTTTTTCAAGGAGTCGGTGCAGAGCCAGGCCGACTCCAGAGCTATCAGGCGAGAGCTGAGGGTCTCCCTCCCCCTCCCTGGACTAGACTGACTAGACTTCCTGCTTCCTGACCTGCAGGAACAAGCGCATTGCCCTTGAGCTCATCTTGGGTGTCCTCTCAAATGCAGGACCTGTTTTCAGGCCACAGTATGGGGGGGGGGAATGGAGGGACCTGAGCGCGGAGGGATTCGTGAAATCCTGCGGCTGGCTCGTGCAAGGTCATCGAAGCATTTCGTTGACATCCTCAAGAAGCTCGTAGGCGTCTTCCGGCTCAAGTTGACCGGGTGTGCAGATTTGCCAGACAGAGTGGTGTTTTTGCCGAGGACTCCTTGATCAAGAACAGTGTTTCACCGATCCCAAAGATATTTGGGCTCTCTTTGCAAATTTTCGTTCCGACCTTGGCCAGTCATTGAGAAGCTCAGTAGCCAACGCTCGGCTCAGATGGCCCAGGTGTCACTGATAACGAACTTCAAGGAGCATTTGAGAGACGAGATCGGTGTGGTTGCCTCATACATCAAGTGGCCCTGTGTTCGGATCTTGCATGGTACTTCCAAAAGGTGTTCATCGAGCAGATTTTCCTGAAGATCCTCGAAAGTGGGAACTCTGACTTCCTTCACAAGAGTAGGGTGGGCAGCTTATCGGCCGGCCATTGGGAGCTCTGGTTCCCGCCTTGCTGCTCTGCTCGGGCGATGTTAGGTGCTGCAAATCTTCTACAAACTCTGTACAGATGCGCCCAAGTCCCAGCACTTTGTTCAAGTGTGGTTTCTGCATAGCTGACTGCTTGTTAGGACCACGCCGCTCGAACTGTTCCTGAACTACGACTGCGATGTAGACGAGAAGAACATCTTCGACTTTTGACTAAACTGCTTCATGTTCTTCTGTGGCCACGACGTGTTAATGAGACTCAGAGGAGCCTTGGCCAAGTCGGTGCATTCAGGAGCGGACAATCGATTGCTTGTCGAAGATCGCTCAGGGGAAGTACACTGCGGCGCCAAGCTAAGTGTTGCGCAGCAGGAGCCGACGATGCAGCATGTTTTCTCAGCGGTTCAGGTGGAACATGCCAACCTCATCCAGCCACATCAGGCCAGCTGGAGCCAGCCCCACACAAGGATTTTGGAGTCGTGTTTTATGGCAGGAGCAGGAGCTGAAGCAGTTGGCCTTGCAGTCTTTGGTCCAGGGCCCTGCCCCGAAGACGCGACGTCTGCAAGCCGAAGCCTTCGACGCTGAGGTGACCCTGATGGGTTCCATCGTCGACTGGGCCTGGTACTCGGATTCCGGGGCCTCCCTCCGCCGCTTTCTGCGAATCCTTCCTGCAGGCTCGACGGATGGCCGAGGCCCGGCATTATATTTATGTATATATATATATATAAATATCTATACAGTCTATACATGCACTATACTACTACGATCTACTACGTATATAGATACATATATGTTTCGCGACATGTTCCAGACACGGTATGCTACACATTCTTGGGTTTCATCCTTTCCTACATATTCTCTGACGGCTGGGAGCCAGATCTCCTGAGCCCGAGAGGATCAAAAGATGCCCATCCTTGGCCAGGGCAGCGAGGATGCCAAGGCCATGGCTTTCAGGCCCAAGGCCTCCTTCGGGTTTTGGGTTTAGGGCTTTAAGTATTTGTAGGGGTTTCGGTTTGAGCGGGCTTAGATAGTTTGGGGTCTCGGGTTCAGGGATTGAGCATGTCAGGGTTTAGGGTTTAGGGATGAAGTAATTTAGGGTTTTGGGGGTTTAGTGACCCTAACTTTCCGTAACCCTTCTTAGCCCCAGCGAAGCCAATTCGACCAAGCTACTCGGACGTGCGTTTTCTCTAAGCAGGCGAAAGATGGACCAGAGAGCGACGGGGAGGACCACAGAATGTTTTGAGCTTCTGCGATTGGAAAGCCATCTTGGAAGCTTTGTTCGTTGGTGCCAGGATGATGCGAGTGATGTCGTTCCCTCTCTGACAACAAGCGCATCTCAGTATTCTCAGTCTTCTGTAGTCCCGGCAAGTCGTGGCAATTTTCCCTTTCACACTTGCCACTCTCTTTGCAGCCAGGGTGTGCCGACGAGCAGCTTCAAAGAGCAGAAGCAGAGAAAGCTAGACCTGCAAATAGGCATCAACAAGTCCGGCCCCCGAAGGCTCCCCGGATCTTGGGATCTTGTGAGTCATGTCCGATGCGAGGTTTAACATGAAGCCAAAGCGTGGCATCGAGTACTTGAAGAAGAACGGCTTTGTGTGCATCTCAGTGTCGCAGGGTTCCAAAGTCGAGCTGGCCAGCAATATTCCCCTGTGGCCAGTTGACCGATGACCCGGCTTCACTTGCTGCGCTCTTCAAGAACACAGAGCTTGGTTGGGCGCCTAATACTCGGTGTGGTGCGTTGTATGGAGACCAGGGCTGCGTCGCAGCAGGCTTGAGGGCGTATGTTGCAGTGTTCTGACTTGGCAGGGTGTTTTATCCAAACTTTTTCAATCGGAACCGGTGTGCCGCTCAAAGACACTGCCGGACCTAGGCCTGGACAAGACGGCCATCGGTGACTATTTGGGTGAGGCTAGGTCATGGTTCTGGGAGTTTCAATGTTGAGCCTTCCCCCGCAAAATGTACTTTGATCATAACGCAATTCGCAGACCACCTGTTGGGGCACGCGACGAGGACAAGCCATTCAACAAAAGCGCGCTGTTTGCGCTTGTCGACGGCTTGGATTTCAAGGCTCAGGCACACTGACCCTTGTTGTGGGTTTCTCGGCCGGATCAGCCCGGCATCCGCCAGTCCCTGGACGGATCGTTGAGACACTTCCTCTCGTACTTCCGACTCCCGGGAGAGGCCGGGACCTTTGCCCTCCTCAGTCGACCAAAGCAAAGTTCGATCAAGGCCCAGAAAATCGATCGGATGATGGAGAAGTTCGCGGAGAAGTATTGCAGCGACAACCCTGAGCGGTTTGCGAATGCAGACTGTGCCTTCGTTCCTTTGCCCGCACGTTGACACAGCAAGACTCGCAAGACTTTGGATCGATCTGGAGGCTGAGCATGCTGCAAGGTGCTGTCATTCTCGTTGATCATGCTGCAGACCGACCTCCACAACCCAGGCTTGACAGGATCCTTCGGCAGTTCGGGGTGCTCTTGAACATCTGTGCGGTCTTGTCAGATGTCGACTTTGACAGATGTCGGCACTGCTTCTTGGTCTCTGCAGGCATCAAGAACAAGATGACCAAGGACGAGTTTGTGAAGAACAACAGGGGCATCAACGACCATCAGGACAGCAGCCCTCTCGGGGCATTTGTGCATCGAAGCCCGCGCATGCTTCAGGACCTCCCGCGAGAATATCTTGAGGGACTCTACGATGGCACTTGGACGGCACGTAACTGTGCAGATTTCTGATTGCAGTCCCGAAAGATTGCATCAAAGGCGTTCTTCACAACCCGATTTCATTGCAAGAAGACCAAGAGGCTGGCCGGCCAACTCGGAGTGGCAGAAATGCATTGCCTCTTGTCTGTGAGGCCAGAAATCGACAAGAGTCACAGGCAGCTAGAGACTCGAACCAGAAGTCGGGGTCCTATTCCTTGAAAGATGAGAGCACATCGCAGCGCTACAGATCCGAATCTCGCCGCTCAACATTCTCAGCTCCAGCCTCTTTGAGGTACGAGCTTTTCGTCAAGGAGACGGAGAGCATGGTACAAAAGACGAAGGCTGACAACATGTGCACTGAAGTCCAACCGTTGAATACCTCAGAACTCTGAGGCCGCGATGCAGATGCGAAGGAAGAGCTCCGCCTACGTGGTCGCCCAAAGCTCGAGCCTCCAAACCCCCCCGACGGGGGCCGCGCAGCTGAGCTGTCAACGCTCCCAGTCGCCAGGCGTGGAGCACGTGAAACCCCTCTTCGAGGCGCTTTTGAGCGTCCGGATGGGCTCTGCGAGCTCGTCATGAGTCGTCCTAAAAGGTGGCCTGCTGGCCATATTTGGCGACCCTGGCCGTCCTGCTGGAGATGGAGGTGCATCTGCTGTGTTGTTATATCCTGGCTCTGCTTTTCGCTGACCTCCAGTTTGTTTATTTTTATCCTTCGATGAACAAGCGCCATTTGATAGCAACATAAAGAGTGAGCGTGCAGACGAAAACTTCCTCTAAAGGCATCCACAGTAGCAGGTAGTACGTCGAGGGTACGGCGTTTCATCGGCAAGTAAGCATTCGTTCCCCGCCCTGTGGCCTCCATGAACGCGTTTTTGACCTGGCTGCTGGTGACGGGCGCCGGCTCTTCGGATGTCTCTGTGAACTTCTCTGAAGTGATCCGGACTTCGCGTACTCTGACCACACTACAGGTGGAGTAGTAGTACTGTATTTCTGTTTCTTTGGAAACTTCAGAGGGTAGAAGTAGACTTTCGCAGGTTCAGGTAGAATAGGCCACTGCCCTGCAGGTGGTCTCTAACCCCATCTTGGACCGCACCTTCGTTGCGCCTAACGGCACGAGCTTCGCGAATCCGATTCACGATGCTGCCTGGGCCTCTTTGAAGGCTTTGCAGGCCGACTTGGTGCGCTTCGTGCCTTGGTTTCCTTATCCCAAGAAGAGTGTGGCAGAGCTGGATGCCCCCACTCAAGGCAAAACATCCTGGGACTTTACGAACATCATGCCGCAGCTGGAAGACTTTATGGATGCGGTCTATGGGCAGAATCATACTGTAGTTCTTAATTTTGCAACGCAGCCCTGCTGGCTTTTCGGGGATGCCAAGAATCAAACACAAAACTGTTCGTACCCATCAAACCCGGACGAGTCCTTCTTCGGATACGTGCGTGGCGACAGGCGGAATCTCCTTGATCCAACTGGCAAGACCATGGCTGCGTACTTCGGACGTCTTCTGTCATATCTTGTGACAGGTGAGTTCGTAGACGAGACTGGGATCAGGCACACGGGGGGCCCTGCCTACACTCGCTTCAACCGCCAAAACGGCCATGTCTGGGAGTTATTCAACGAGGGTGAGCATGGCTACACCGCTTCTGAATATATTCATGACTATGATGTGATCGTGCCTGAGATGATCAGAGCCGTTGGCTGGGACCATGCCCCGGCCTTCATGGGACTTGGTGGTGTCTCTACAGATTGGGTCCCACCATTCTTGAATCGTAGCAACCACAGCTCACCTGTTCCCCCGATTGACTACATCTCGGTGCACCACTATGCATCCTGCTCCAATCGTACAGATCCTTCTACTTATTCCTCTGGCTTCTTTGGTGATTTCGCAGCATGGATGAAGACTTTCAAAGAGACCGTGCTGGTAATGCGTAGTTCGTCGTCGTTCCCTGATGTCAAGCTTGATTTGGACGAGCTCGGAGTCATCATGCCGGGCGACAACGATCCATCCCGGGGCCTCGACGCGGACCTTCCTGACATCTACTGGAACGCCGCGGGGGCCGCCTACGCCTTCGTCTTTGCAACTTTGGCTCCCCTGGGTGTTGAAGTGCTGGGTCAGTCACAGCTGGCGGGAAGCCCGAAGATCCCGGAGTGGGGGATTCCTCTGCCGCAGTATCCCAGTGTCAGCTTGCTAGACTGGCGAACGGGTCTGGGCAACGCTAGGTACTGGGTCCTGAAGCTCTTGATCGAAGAGTTTGCACCCGGAGATAAGCTGGTGTCGACGGATTGCCAGTCCTCTGACGATGCTCCAGGGCCGTTGAGTTGCATGGGAGCCGTTGCAAAGGATGGGTCCCAAAAGCTTCTGATCGTGAACCACTTGAACGGTGTTCAGACGTTGAGGCTGAGCGGCTTCAAAGCCGGCAGTGTGGCATTGAGAATTGTTGATCCCAAGTCTGTACAGGTGGCAAGTTCCAACGGCATCCGTAACTCTACCAAGGATGTCAGCCAGCCTTTTAGTTTAGATGCCTTTGCAGTGGTGGTTGCATCTCGTGGCCCCTCTGTATCGGCGGTCTTTGTCTAGCTTAGCGTTCTCTCCTTAAGTTTTGGGCAGTTTCGTGACATGAAGGAGGTATGAACTGAAGAACAGGCGCTTCTCTTGGTTTTGCATGCCGGACTTCAGTGAAGCAGATGGGCATTCTTCGGCCAGGGCACACCCCAGAGCATCGAGCTCTGCATTGAGGGCTTCAAGCACTGCATCAGGTGGGGAGCCACGGCTTCGCTGTGGCCCTGGCACCGGTTACTGCACTGCTGGGCTTCAGGATCGCGGCGCGCTTCAACATGGACACGGAGCGCGATGCTTTTGTTTCATCCTTGGCCAAGTTCACCTACCTGACGACGATCAAGGCGGGGAAGTCGTGATACCAAGAGACCGAGGGCTCTGTTGCAGCTGCTCGCAGCTGCTTGCAGGAGATGAAGCAGAAGAACATCGAGTGCATCAAGGCGAGGCTTTCCCTTCTGAAAGAGAGGGTTGGATGCAGCCACTCGTCGAGGCTTTGCTTTCCATTGGACTCTCTGAGGGAAACAACCTGGGACCCTCCTGGCTGTATGCAGGAATCTTAGAGAGAAGTCATGAGTCATTTCTGTTTTCCCTTGGGTGCCGTTGCCAGGTCTTGCACTGCATCTCCCAGCTGGAGCGGCTCCAACTGATCGGCACCCGCGGTGCGAGGCAAGCTTCAAAAGGGCATCCTGGGAGCCGCTCCTTCTTGGCGTGGAACGCGGCTTTCAAGGCAGGACTTCCAGTTCTTCCAGTTGGAAGACGAGGTTCCGAGCGTCAGCGCCAAGCTGCTGTCGCACCGAAAATGTGCGTGTTTCTGCAGCATCGGCACGGCCAGGCTCTCTCGCCCGGATCTGCGAGCAGGAGGGGCGTTTCCATTGACCCCTTTCTAGCTTCAGAGCCTTTCACCTGTCTGGGCTTCAGGACCAATGCCAGCATTGCCGGACAACAGGCTTACCGAGAGGAAGTCTTGGGGCGGGTTAGCCGGTTAGCAAAATCTTACAGGTTGTCAAGCGTCGTGCACATGGCTTGGGGGTGTCCGTGTCCCAGCATCATTCCATGATGTGATATGATGTGATGCTCAGTTGTGCTTGCTGATGGCTGAGTGCTGCGCCACAGGTCCGCCTTGGTGGCCATTGGGCAGGACGATCGCAACGTCGAGCTGGCCCCTGGCCCGGATCTGTTGCAGCTCTTGGGGCTCCAAAGAAAAGCGTGTTCGGTTTGATTAGTTTGGCGAAGTCTCGGAGGTGAACTCGGAGTCCATCGCTTCGCAGATCGACGCGTCTCAGATTGAGCTGCTCTTCAACAAGTGCCTTACTGAGAGAAGCGCAGTGCTTTTCAGCACCTGGCGCCCCCTGCTATGGTGCTTTCCGGGCTGTGGAGCTGACCGTTTGGAGGTCCACGCAGCTGTCTCCACCCGCAGTGGTCCACTTCGTGACTCAGTTGGCAAAGGCGGGGGCCGGAGCAGGAAAATGCTGGCTCTGCTTTAAGCTGCTCGAGGTCTCCAAGGAAGAGTTGGCCCTGGCCGACCAGCCCCGAATCTTCTCTTTGCAGAAGCTGGTGGAGGAATGGGCTCTTGTGGAAACTGTAGCACCTCTCTGCGAGTTGGCAGAGTGTTGTTGGGGGAGGTGGCCGACTTCAACATGGGGCGGATGCGAGTCGTTTGGGGCCGGATATGGCGTGTCCTGAGCAGCCACTTCGTGGATGCCTCTTGGATGCATCGGCTCGTGACTGTTGTGCTGTCTCGGCTGCCTATCGTTGCGCTTGCTGAGGTGGCTGCTCATCAGAATGTACGGGTGTGCAACTTCGTCCTTCGGCTGCAAAAAAGCAGCAGATGCCGTGCCTTTTCTAGCAGCCTTTCTTTAGGAGATGGGTCCCAGCCTCCCGGCGCAGGCCATGGACTCCCTGCGTCAGCTGACGATGAAGTTCCTGGAGAAGGACGAGCTCGCGGGCTACAACTTCCAGGCGCAGCTCCGAGCTTTCCCTCGGCGGCCCTCGGCCCTCCCCATAATAACAGTAATAACAACAATAATGAGAACAATAATAATTAAGAACAATGAGAATAATAAGAACACCATAGAACACCACTTAGGCCGACTTCCTGAAGCCCTTCGAGACCATCATGGCTCCCGCCTCGGAGAAGCGCTCGACTTGCTGGAAAGCTGAAATCCCCTTTTTTTTCGAGGTGGGGCCTCCACCCGTCAGCAAGGAGGTCAAGGACAGGGTATCTTCAATTCCTGATGTCCTTCAACTTAGATGTCCGTAGCCTCCGGCCCTGGCTCTTCGGGCTAGGCCTGGATGAGTATTCTCATGCGTCGTATGGTCTGCCATCTTCGCCCATTCACCAAAGCCTCTCTGGGGCTCGGATCTCGTTTTGCAAGGTGCCCCCCGTAGGTCGAAAAAAGTGACGGGGGCGACGGGAGGGCGCGGCACCGGTTAGCGGGCAAAGCGAGCCTAAATCAGCCTGAGCCTCCTCGCCATTTTCTGAAACTGAGGGTTTTACAACAGTGTTGCAAAGTTGCAAAATCGTGTCAGAGAGCCGCATGGAAAAGGAGATCTGGATTCGTTCCGAGCGAAACAGCCAGTTCATCCTGTAGAGCAGCTATACTACCGTGTTTTTCCTCCTGTCTCTGCATCCAACATGTGTGCTGCGCAGGACTACCTGGTTCACATCATTGCCTATATGGCTGATGCCACAACCTCAGATATCGCTTCAAAGCTGCCCACTTGATCTTGGCAATGGCTACGACGAAGCGCCTTTGCTTACCCTGTCTTGTGCCGCACGAGAGCAAGGCAAGCTTTCGGAGCATCCGGTTCTGACCTTACCAGAGACTTCCTTCGTCCTGTGGCCTGACATGTGGTTGGAGAAGGTCCGGATGGAAAGCGGTTCTCCACATCTGTGCTGCCGCTGCTCAAGATCCGTCACTCGGGGAGGCCTTTGTAGCAGAGCCTTTTGCACCCGTGCATGCTTCTGGCTCCATCGGCACAGGCGACAGTCGAGGTAGCCTTCAAAGTGGTGGAGAAGGTTTTCACTGATCCGTTCTTTCAGCTGCTGTGCACTGGAAGTGATGGGAGGTCAATTTAGACGGCTCTTACCACATCTTCGTGGAGAACTTCACGGACGGCATTCGGGCACTGCTCTCCTTCGCACAGTGCAAGGCTCTCCACACCGATGCTTTCCTTTTGTGGGGAGCTCTGTGAGTTGAGGTCCAGGACAAGAAAATCATCGCCCTCAAGGACTCGCAGTCCCAGGGCGAAGAGAAGCCAGTGGCCGCGAAAGAGGCGCCTGGGACGGGGGGAGCCTCAAAAGTTTGACTTCACTGCATGGTGGTCCCGACGAGCAAATGCCCTGCCACAGGTCAGGGAGGACATCTCGGTTCTGGCGATAGGTTTCCTCCTCAAGGCGATTGGCTTGCTTGCTTTGATAGAGACGCTGATGCTTCGATGTCGGCAAAAGGTTCGTGTGTAGGGGCCACAAGGGCCGCGTCACGAACAGTGCAGAAGGCTGCACAGACTGGGGGCCGTCGGTCAATGTGGCGATGCAAAAGTGGTAGCAACTATACGTACGCCGGGACTTCCGTGCGAGCGTCAAACTGTCTGGCTTGCTTTCACCAGCGACTTGTTTTTTTTCCTGGAGGCCGCCGAATACTTAGCCGATCCACAAACGAAAGATCTCCCATCGGGTACTTCCCTGCCCCAGGACTTGATGTGGTGCGAAATGTCAGGATAAGAGTGAGCTGACATCATGTGCACGCCCGGAGGATGTGCATTCTATGACGGAGGGCCATCCAGCTGCTGCATGGCACGGGCCGTGGGAAAGCGCAGCAGCTAATTTTTCGATTTTCTTGTCTCACAAGGTTTCCCATTCTGCGGGGCCTTTCCATGCTGGTGGGCGACCCACGAAGAGAAGCTCTACCCTCGATATTTCGCCGTTCGGTTCTCTTGTGCTGAAAGCTTTGGGCTGTTGGTTCAGGTGAGATCCAAGTCACTGAATGGCGTCTTCGACATCCTCCGAGAACATGGAAGGCAAGTCTTCGACGAGGATGCCTGGTCTTTCACGGCGGTCATTCAGTTTGCAGCAATTAGTTCAAGCAAGCAGGCGTATCAGGAAGCGTTGATGGAGTGTTGCGGCAGATGCAACGCGCCAGGACACTTGGCGAATGGTTTTCAACGGAGCCACTGACACAGCATGAAAGTGACACCAGCAAGCTCACACGTCATGGAAGACGATGCACATCAGCTGCCTACAGGTCATCAAGCCGCTGTTCGATGACATTCACCATCAGCTTGCCCCGCCACCTGATCACAAGGCGCATTAAGTTGCGGTCCAGGTTGTTCGCCGGACCTTCCCAGTAGCTCGCAGTCACACTTGGGATCAGCCAATACGCGTCCAGCTCCCCACCCGACTCCGACCGGAGGCCCAGGTTGGGGCTGAGGTCAAAGCGCAGAAACGAAGATATGCCATGCGGCATGCAACGGCAAGCAGTACTCCAAGTTTCCTTGACATTCTCAGAGTGCAGTCGCGGGAAGTGAAGAGTTCGGCAGTTGCGGCTGAGCTTGGTGTTGATACTGGTGCAGTTTTCGTCACTCTCCAGGGGCTGTGTTGGCTGAAATCTTCTTCATCGTGGACGGTGTCTCGTTTCAACCAGATTCTTCTATGGTGATGATGACAAGCATGTTTCTCGTCATCTGACCCTGCTTGAAGAGCGACAAGATCGGAAGCTGATAGCTGAGCTCTCATTGCGACCTGCATGTGGCGGTGCCAGGATCTGACTAGGTGAGTTGGAGAACATGCTTTGGCTGCCGGGCCAATTGTTCTTCCTGGCAAACAAGCTTTAGTCGTTCAGCGAATGTGTTGACTGAATTTCTGTTCATGGTGGATGGGGCGATGATGAGAAGCATGTTACTCGTCATCTGATCTGTCTGCCTGAAGAAGGACACGATCGGAAGCTGATAGCTGAGGCCTTCTTCCGCGCCCTCTGAACCGCACCAGCATGTCGTTCTGAAGTCTTCTTGGTGGTGTTTGGCTTCTGTGTCGAACAGCTCTGATGTGGCATTCATGAGTGCCATTTTACTCGTCATCTGATCTGTCTGCCTGAAGAGCGACAAGATCAGCTGAGTTGTGCCTTTTTGCAGAAAGGCTCTTGTCGTTCAGCAAATATGTTGACTGAAATTCTGTTCATGGTGGATGGGGCGATGATGAGAAGCATGTTACTCGTCATCTGATCTCTCTCCCTGAAGAAGGACAAGATCGGAAGCTGATAGCTGATGTCTCCTTCCCCAGGCCGTGTGAACCGCACCAGCATGTCGTTTTCGGATGAGTAGCCCGTTACTTCTCATCTGATCTGTCTGCCTGAAGAGCGACAGGATCAGCTGAATAGTGTTCGCTTGCAGAAAGGCTTTTGTCGTTCAGCAGATGTGTTGACTGAAATTCTGTTCATGGTGGAT